TCTAGTCGACACTTGATACTGTCCTGCTTCTTAATTTGCCAAAATGGTGGGTATGAAATTATATCCACTGTTTTCATTTACATTTCTATGATTATTAATCAGACTTAACATGGATGTTTCATGAATAGTTTCAAAATATGTAATTAGTGTCCAATTATATTTCTCTGATTACCAATTTGTTATTGATTTCTAACTTAATCACACTGTAGTCAGAGCTGTTATCTATATGACTCTTTAAAAGTTTAAATTTAAAAGTTTTTCACAAACCCAAAGAGTGCTTGAAAACTATCCTAGAAAGATATCCCTTAATGACACCACTTCATACAATTCCTACTATGTGCATGGCAGGTACGATACACTACCTCAATTAAACCCTATGGGATAGGTTCTAGTATCCCTATTTTACAGATGAAATAACATAAGCACAAAGACATCAGACAATCTTCTCAGAGACATATAGTCACAGGTAGCAGAGCCGCAATTAAAAAACAGCTGTGTGACATCAAAGTCCATGCTCTTAGTCACTAAATTATATGCAGGGATTACAATGCACTAAAATTTTTAAGGCATCTTTTTAAAGGAGTCTTACAAATGTTCTTATACTTTCTTTTGTCCTCATAAAAGCCTGATGGGTTAAGAATGAAAAGTTTATTTAATCCTGTTTTACATGTGGGAAAATTGACACACAGAACCATTGTAGTTCTTCGGAAGCGTCCTCTAAAATGGCTCAGTATTTCACTTGGTTCTATGTTCAGTGTGGATAGAAGGTGGTTTATTTGAATAAAAATTCGGATACCACTGGCTTAGAGATTTATTCTCTTTTTTCCTTACAGATCTTAGGATCGCCAATGCAATGACTGGGGGAAGGAGCAATACAACAATTACAAAGTTCATTCTCTTGGGATTCTCTGAATTTCCAAAGCTCACCATTGTCCTCTTTTCAATATTCCTAGGGATCTACCTCATGACAGTGTCCTGGAATGTGAGTCTCATTGCCCTCATCAGGATGGACTCCCATCTGCATACACCCATGTACTTCTTCCTCAGCAACTTGTCCTTCCTGGACATCTGCTATGTTTCCACTATAGCCCCCAAGATGCTCTCAGACTTCTTCAAGAAACATAAATTCATCTCCTTTATGGGGTGCACCGTGCAGTACTTCTTCTTCTCTAGCCTGGGTCTGACTGAGTGCTGTCTTATGGCAGCCATGGCTTATGATCGATATGCTGCCATCTGTAACCCTCTGCTCTACACGGCCATCATGTCCCCCACCCTCTGTGTGCACATGGTGGCAGGATCTTGTATCACTGGATTCCTGGGCTCATTTATTCAACTGTGTGCCTTGCTTCAGCTCCGTTTCTGTGGGCCAAATGTCATCAACCATTTCTTCTGCGACCTGCCCCAACTGCTGATCCTATCCTGCTCTGACACCTTTTTCTTTCAAGTCATGACCTCTGTGCTCACAGTGATCTTTGGACTCACATCTGTTGTGGTTATCATGATATCCTATGGTTATATCGTTGCCACCATCCTGAAGATCACTTCAGCTGAAGGCAGGTCCAAAGCTTTCAACACCTGTGCTTCTCATCTGACAGCCGTGACCCTATTCTTTGGCTCAGGCATCTTTGTTTATATGTATCCTAATTCTGGTGATTCCCTGAGCCAAAACAAGTTGGCATCAGTCTTATACACTGTCATAATCCCCATGTTAAATCCACTGATCTATAGCCTGAGGAACAAAGATATCAGAGATGCCCTAAACAGATGGAAGAAGAGAATCTTCTTCTGGTGTTAGTAATTATGGAATTTATTTCAGATGTACAAACAGTGTGGGAGGAATAACAACTAAAATGTTTATCCCCAATGCTCCTAATTATCGGCAGAATTGCAGTTGCTATTTGCTTCTAATATAAACCCAGGACTAGCAAAAAGCCAGGAAAATGCATGAGAAGTGTCTGGAAGCTCAATATCCATTCTTTGTCAGTTGAGACCTAATAAATCAATAAGCCAAGAAAGCCACAAGTATTTTCATAGCTACTCATGGCAATGTGACAGTTCGCTTTGAATATTCCATCCGTACCTAACATGGCACTACCTCAAGGACCACAGAAGCCAGTACTGGTCAAGGCTGCCAGGACGCTAGCAAGCCTTCTCCTAGCATGGAATTTTAGGTATGGCAGGGATTACCATTAGTACTGACGATCATTTTTTTTATTTTCAACATTTATTTTCTATAGTTTCCTTTGTTTTTTGTTTTTTTTTTTATTTATTATTCCAGGGTTTTGTGAGGGTACAAACATTATAGTTACACTTTATGTCTTTGCCTCACCCAAATGCAGGTTAAAGGCATGCCCTTCCCTCCCTTTAGTGCTCCCTGTGTCCTTTAGTTGTAGATTTACCCCCCCATCCCCATAATCCCTAGAGAGTATTTCTGCAATGTGATCAGCCTAGTGTTGATCAGTTAGTACCAATGTGATGGTGAGTACAAATGGATCCCGTTCTTCTGCTCTTTTGGTGCCCCACTTTGGATAAAGGGCTTAAGTTTAATCCAGGAAAGTATAAGAGGTGCTAGATCACTGTTGTTTCTTATAATTGAGTAATATTCCATTGTAAACATATACCAAATTTTAATAATTCACTCATGGATTGACGGGCACTTGGGTTGTTTCCACATTCTTGCAATAGTGAATTGTGCTGCCATAAACATTCGGGTGCAGATGTCTTTATCGTAGAATGTTTTGTGCTCTTTTGGGTAGATGCCTAATAGTGCTATTGCTGGATCGAATGGTATTTCTATTTTTAGCTCTCTGAGGTACCTCAGAGGTACCTTTGGAGATACCTCATCTCCAAATTCTTTTCCACAGAGGTTGCACTAATTTGCAGTCCCACCAGCAGTGTAGAAGTGTTCCTGTCTCCCCACATCCTCGCCAACATTTGTTGTTTTGTGTTTTTTTGATCGAGGCCAATCTCACCGGGGTTAGGTGATACCTCATTATGGTTTTGATTTGCATTTCTCTAATGATTAGAGATGTTGAGCATTTTTTTATATGTTTGCTGGCCATTATTCTGTCTTCTTTTGAAAAGTTTCTGTTCATTTCACTTGCCCATTTGTTGATGGGGTTGTTTGATTTTTTCTTGTTGATTTTTTTGAATTCTAGATAGATTCTGGTTATCAGCCCTTTACTGAAAGATCATTTTTAAATAATTTCCTAATTAAGTTAGTATTCACATTTAACCTATTTCTTCAACACTGGAAATTCTGGATTAATTTCTTCATTTATGGATTGTACAAAGCAAAAATAATCATATCAATGATTTGCTAATGTCACACAGAAAAAAATTATTTTATAATAATAGGAATGCTTAACATGTTTGCTATATTTAAGGCTTGGTTGACCACTTGGTCAGTTAGGCATCCCTAGACAATTTCTTGTATTTTATTGCAACAGAGTCATTTTTGTTTCTCCATCTTATCTCCACCACATAACCAGAAAAGGGAATCAGAAGCTGACCCTCTGTTGGCAAGGTGATCTAGTCCCTGATTTTGGCAACTCCAATGATGTCTTTTTGTTACATTTTTGGTTTGTTTCATAGAACGAGTCTCTTAGAAAGTTGTTTTTCCAATAACTAACAAATGGGAAATGACTGGTAAAATTATCTGTAAGGAACTAGATCTCTGGGACCAAGAAAAAAGTCTGGGTTTGGCTGTTTCCCTGGTAACTGTGTTTGGAATTACTATAAGGCATAGAGAAAAACTGAAGAGCTGAGATTAAAAATACCAACCAAAGAAAGGAAGCTGGGACAGAAAGCAGCCTTCTGTTGTTTATCTTCTGATAGAATGCTGATTTCTATAATCTTAGGCCAGGAATTATGAAAACTTTCAAGAGATTATTCCTGGTAAAAGACAGTTTGTACATTCCCCTTCCCTCTGTTTTCAGAAAGAAAAATTCCAAGTCCCCCTGAGTGTTCAGGTGGTGAGAACTTAAAGCGAATCTTTTGGACAACTGTAGACATTGCAGCTTGAGAGGTCTTGCTTCTAATACTTCGTATCCGTGGAGTAGAATCCAGTTTCAAGGAACTTGCAGATGGAGGGGAAAATTCTTTTGGAAAACAGCTGATTTGCAGTTATTGGCTAGGATTTTGACAAGGGAAGTTTGAGATGGGGTTGCAGGCCTAGATTTCATCTATGGTCTTTTTCAAAACTAACATCTGTTAGTGATCCCATTCTGACCTCCCTTAGCTTCAGCCTAAAACAAAGGATATTAGCTGAAGTCTGGACTGGGGTTGAGAGAGAGAAATAACTGCCCAAGTGGCATTCATTTACTTGTTTGGATCCTTAATGCTTTTATGGTCTCATAGTATTAGGATCTCTGAGGAGAAGTCCTGCTTGGAGTCAATATCACAACCAGCAGGAATGCTTCATTATGTAAAATTCAAAATCTCCTTAATTATGAAAAACATAATTTTTAGGAAAAAAGTGATAATGGCCCTTAAATCAGCAGGGCCTAATCTCTATAGAGGACCAGAATCCCATTTATTCTGATCTTCAAGTTATCTGTAGGATATGGATGCATAGGATGCTCATTCCCAAGCAGGAATTTTTCATGAACAACAAAGGTTCAGAGATTAACCTCTGGTCACGACAGAGGCTGATAAATTGGAGACAAACTCCTGGACAGTACCATGTGTTTCTCTTTGTGTGACAACTTGTGATTAACATTTTTGTCTTGGTGACATTTTTAAAGAAACAAATGTGCTTTACGTGATATACTAGGGGAAAAATGGTCTACATCTATTAATTCTATTGCACAATACTTTCTGGGTTTCCAGGTTGCTGTAGAAACTTAGCACCATGGGTGGGAATAGAAGTGCTCTAGGATATGGAGTAGTAAATCCTACATTCTAAAAAGTTGCATTTTCTTTGCTGCGTTAGTAGAAGAAAATAGGGTTTGGTAGCTTCTATGATTCTGGGCATAGGCTAAACACGCCTAACTCAGCACTAATTTCTGATTGGTTGTTCTGTTCATCACTTTACATCTCAATTACTTTATATTTTAAATTTTGAAAATAGTGCTATATGTACCTGTATCCCATTTTATATAAGTGCTCTAATACTTTATTGTTAGCACATGAAGGTAGAAAAGTGAAGACAAGAGTGGCGTTTTCAACAGGTTTCTAAGTTTCCTAAATTGAGTCCAGAGAAGTGGATAATGGGTGGCTACACCTGTGCAAAGGCTGCTAAAGGAAAGTTGGCATATGGTATGCAGGGAGTCATTAGACCTGTCTTCATCTAAGGACATAACCCCAGCATCTTCTGTAATTCCAAGAACTTAAAAAATGGTTGAGGCAGTGAACAGCAAATTGGGTGTTGCAGAAAAGTAAACGTTGAATGAGATAACTACCTTGAGATGTTTCCTAAGAATGTGGAGGGAAAGTATAAAGAAATGAATAGGATGAACCAGATTATGAGGCATGAAGGATTGTTATGGAGAGCCAATGTGCTAAAATAAGAAGTTCAAAAGCAATAATTAAACAGATGGAGGCAATAAGATTGTTGAATTTTAAGGAAAAATAATTCCCTTGAACTCTCTTTCCTTAAGCTAGGAAAGATATTGAAAACTTGTCTTTTAACCAAGAAATTTGTTTGCTAAAATTAATTCCAATTCAAATCCCAGTAGAACTTTGGGGGAGGTCAGTGGTAATGGAAGGAACTTTGTAAAATGATATAATGTTTAACTTAGAGAAAATAGGGTGACAATAATAAAGAATATTTTGAAAATGTTGTTAATAAGAAATACTCAACTCGGCTGGGCGCGGTCGCTCACGCCTGTAATCCTAGAGCTTTGGAAGGCCGAGGCGGGCGGATTGTTTGAGCTCAGGAGTTCGAGACCAGCCTGAGCAAGAGCAAGACCCCGTCTCTACTAAAAATAGAAAGAAATTAATTGGACAACTAAAAATATATAGAAAAAAATTTAGCCGTGCATGGTGGCGCATGCCTGTAGTCCCAGCTACTCGGGAGGCTGAGGCAGAAGGATTGCTTGAGCCCAGGAGTTTGAGGTTGCTGTGAGCTAGGCTAACGCCACGGCACTCATTCTGGCCCGGGCAAAAGAGTGAGATTCTGTCTCAAAAAAAAAAAAAAAAGAAATATTCAACTCAATAATTAAACAATGCATAAGTGGTATAAAGGTTGAAAAATAGAACAATGGAACAAAAATTTAGTTCCAGAAAAAATATGATTTAGATGAAAAATAAAATTTTAATAAAGTATCCACAAATTATTGGGAAAAAAAGTTATTCAATGTGATTTCTGAGATTAGTTAAATATTTCAGAATAGAAAAAGAAGCTTATATTTGTTTTACAATATCTAAAATGTAGCTGACTTGTGGATCAAAGAGTAATGAGTGCAACACATTTAAGCTACAAGTATATACTAGAAGAAAATAGATAAATAAAATTGATGAATATATCTAAGAAAATACAAATGAATGTTTTTTGTGAATAAAAAAGAGCTTAAAAAGCTTACAAATTAGTGAAAGAAATCACAAAGAAAAATAAGTTGGGGCTCTAAACACTTTAAATATCTTTTCAACAGATAATGCAAATAAAGTGAGAAGACAAGCATCAATTTGAGAAGAATACAGCAAAAAATGATGATCTATGAAGCGTTAACATTTTGACGGAGTTTTCGTCCACTCTACTGAAAAAAATACCAAAACCGTTACAAACCCTATGTAAGACTGAATTACAAAAGAGAAAATGAGTCTAAACAAATATATGAGAAATAGTTCAAATGC